GCCACCCCCTGTCACGCTCAAGGCAGGGCCGATGGGGAGGTTGCAGCTCCACCCTGTCACACATAGAGCAGGGTCGATCAGGGGGTTAGGGAGCTCCCCCCTATCAGGCACAGAGCAGGGCTGATCAGGGGGTTGGGGCGCCTTCCCCTGTCACAAACAGAGCAGGGTGGATAGGGAGGTTGTGGCCCCACCCCCTGTCAAACACAGAGCCTCAGGGCAGTCAGGGGGTTTGGGCGCTGCCCCCTGTCACGCTGCTCCAGGGGCCAGGAGGCCTCGCGGCTCCGCTTGACACTGGGGCAGTGAGGCTTCGCTGCTCAGCTGATCCCGGGTTCGGGAGGCCTTGTGTCTTCGCTGATCCCGGTGCTGGGGGGCCTCACTGCTCCACTGATCCCGGTGCTGGGAGGCATATTACCCTTTTACTATATAGGATAGAGGCCTGGTGCACGGGTGGGGGCCAGCTGGTTTGCCCTGAAGGGTGTTCTGCATCAGGGTGGGGGTCCCGCTTGGGTGCCTGGCCAGCCTGGATGAGGGGATGATGGCTGTTTGCATCTGGTCACACCCCCTTCAGGGTGGGGGTCCCCACTGGGGTGCCTGGCCAGTCTGGGTGAGGGGCTGAGGGCCGTTTTCAGGCTGGCGGGTGACTGAAGCTCCCAACCTCTCTTTTATTTCTTTTTTCTTTTTTATTCTGGGATTTATTTACCTTTTATGGCTGTCACTGGAGCTGAGAGCCATCTTTAGCTCTGAGGCTCGGCTCCAGCTCTGAGACCTCAGCTGCTGAAAGCAGGGATCTGTGTTTGTTTGGGTTCTATAATTGAAACACTGTTGCGATCCTGCCAGCTGAAGCCCGGCTGGCTGAAAGCAGGTTTCTGGGGTTTTGTTTAGCTTCTATATTTGTAACAATGTTTCTTAGAGAGCAGCTGAGAGGCCGGCAGCAGCAGGCGGGGAACCTGGCTTCCTCCATCACTGGAGCAAGCAAGCCTCCCTGTTCGCTTCAGCTGCCTGACTGCCGGCCGCCATCTTGGTTGGCAGTTAATTTGCATATCTCGCTGATTAGCCAATGGGAAGGGTAGTGAAGTTACGGCTAATTACCATGTTTCTCTTTTATTAGATAGGATTATGTATAACAGGATATTGTAAAAATTAAGTTATGAAATTTTTATTAAAACATTTCTTACATACCGTTACATTGGCTGGGCAGCAAAAATATTCATTGTGGACCGCATGCAGCCCGAGGGCCATGAGTTTGACATGCTTGGGCTACTCCATGCTTGCTTCCCTCTGCTGACCAGCTTTCTCCTTTTCCTCATCAGCAAACTGCCTTCCTGGGATCCCTAGTTCCATGTCTCAGACCTGCTGGGAAGGAGCTACATCCTGTTGGGCACAGGCTGCATCCCAGGAGGGGGGCTTGGGCCAGATGTGCGAGGAGCAAAGACGGGCTTGTTTCCTAGCGTGGCGGCCCGAGGCCCACCCTCGGGTGTCTGGGGCCCATCGTGGACAGTGGAGACTGGGAGACACCCAGGAGGAGTTGGCCCCATTTCTAGGTTTAAAACCACTTCGTCCCCACCCCACTCAGCAGGAGGCCTGGCACCACCCCAGCCCCCAGCATCCTAGTGGCAAGACTTGACCAGGGAGAACTTTGCTCCATTTTTTGTTTGTTTTCCAACTGAGATGCAGTGTCTACATCACATGCAGCGATGTGCTACTGACACCCCAGATCAAGACTTAGAACAATCCCAACACCCCAGTCAGGATCCCTCCCTGAGGCAACCGAAGACTCTCATCACCAGGGGTTAGTTCTGCCTCTTCTTGAACTTCAGGAAAACGGCATCGCACAGTCTGTATTCCTTCGGTCTACGGCTTTTCTCACTCATGCCTGTGAATAAAAGCCTAATGACTGCACGTGGGAACCAGAACTCAGTTCTTTTTTGAAGGGGAAACCCGAAAGCAAACGACTCCTTGGATTGGGAAGGGCTGGTTGAACCTAGTGAGGTTTTGCTGTTGTTTTTAATCCTCACCCGAAGATCTTTTTCCCATTGCTTTTTAGAAAGTGTGGAAGGAGGAGAGACAGAGAAACATGGATGTGAGAGAGACAATCGATTACTTGCCTCCCCCGACACACCCCGACTGAGAAATGAACCTGCAACCCAGGTACATGCCCCTGACCCGGAACTGAACTTACGACCCTTCTGTACGTGGGCTGTAACCACTGAGCCACACCGACCTGAACAATCATTGTGAGGTTTTGATACAGAAAGCACTTCATTCTTGCTTAGCAGTCTGGAAGCACAGGCATTGCCCACATTCTCTTAATGGGAAAAACGCCATTCTCTCTTCTTTGGGAAGCTGGCCGCTAGCAGATGGAGACAGGGCTGAGGCGTTTTCACAGCTTCATTCACAGACGGAAACAGCTCCTCATTCCTTCCCTGCCTCACTGTGGGAAGGGAACCTTAATTAGCTTCCCTGCGGCTCAGCCTCCGGAGTGCTGGGGTGAAGGGGGGAGGAGAGAGCAGGAGGAGCCAGGAGGAGCTTGGGAAAGTGTTGTTAACCACTGAGTTCCATGAAAATAAGAAAGGACAGTGTTCCTTTAATCAATATTATTACCGTGTCTCCGGAATTGGGCGGGTTTCTCTCATTTTGAGGGCCTCCTGGCTGGCCCCCACGGTTGCTCCCTTATATTCCGCCCTCATTTGGTGTAAGGGGAGGGGAGAGGGAAGGTAGTGCTCAGGTTGAGCACCTACTATGCGCCAGGCACTTCCATGGGGGTTCTACACACATTGTCTTTTTTTTTAATATATGTGCTGCCAAAGTGAGCACCATTATCTTTTATTTAAATGTTAATTTTAATTTATTTTATTTTTTCAATTACAATTGACATTCAATATTATATTAGTTTAAGCCCTAGCCGGTTTGGCTCAGTGGATAGAGCATCAGCCTGCAGACTGAAGGGTCCTGGGTTTAATGTCCAGGTTGCAAGCTTGATCCCCAGTCATTGATGTTTCTAGCTCTCTCTCCCTCTCCCTTCCTCTCTGAAATCAATAAAAAATATACTAGAGGCCCAGTGCATGAAATCTGTGCAACAGGCTCGGCCCTCGCAGCCCCGGCGGCTTGCCTTGGCCCTGGAAGCCCCGGCTTCGTCCAGAAGGTCGTCCAGACAGTCATTTAGCTGTCCAGCCTAATTAGCATATTACATTTTATTAGTATAGATTAGTTTCAGGTGTACAACATAGTGGTTAGACATTTGCATAACTTATGAAGTGACCCCCCTGATAAGTCTAGTGCCCAGCTGGCATCACACATAGTTATTACAATATTATTGACTATATTCCCTATACTGAACTTTACATCCGTGACCATTTTTAACTGCCAATTTGTAGTTCTTAATCCCTTCACCTTTTTCACCAACCCCTTCCCCTCTGGCAACCATCAGTTTGTTCTCTGTATCTATGAGTTAGTTTGTTTTGTTTGTTCATTTATTTTGTTCATTAGATTCCACATGTGAGTGAAATCCTACGGTATTTGTGTTTCTCTGACTTATCTCACTCAGCAGAATACCCTGTAGGCCCATTCATGGTGTCACACCACAGCCCTGGTCTTAGTCCATCCTGACCGAATGAAGGAGCCCGAGCCCTCCTTAGACAGGGAGGAAACGGGCTCAGGGAGCTTACACATGTAAATCCCTTGTCCAAGGTCATGTAGCTGGTTAGTGCTGAGTTTGGAAGCCATGTCTGTGTGGATCAAAGCTGTGCTTGCAGCAACCCCACCTGGGGCCTCTCAGGGGAGCTGGTTTCCACTTCCTGGACTGGGGAAGGGGCCTGGCTGCTGGCCAGGCCTCTAGGGAAAGCTGCGCTGTCCACACCTGAGCACACTGGGGCAGCTGCCCCCTTCCCAGGCTCTCCCCTGGGCCCTGAGCTCAGACCTCCGCCCACGCCCACGTGGCCTTGGCTAGGGGCCAGGGTGCGTGAAGCCTGAACTGAACGGGTGAGTCTTAAATGCTGGAATTGCAGGTATTAAGTGAAATGAAAAGGAAACTGGAGAGAATCATCTGAGGACTTCCTAAGGGCCTCTGAAACTACTCTTGGAGACAGCCTGGTGGGGGGCTGGAGGAGGTGCGCCCAGAGCCAGAACACACATCCCCCCACAAGGCTGCAGACACAGGGACCTAAAGAGGCCTGGGGAGGCCTCCTCACCTGAGTCTGACATGCCAGGTACCTGGCTTTGGGTGGGGCCAAAGCAGGGCCAGATGAGGGTAAGGAAAAGAGGGGCTTCAGGTGAAAATTCAAGGCGGCGCTTACACCCGGGGCCTCTCTTCCCTCACCTTCGTCTGAGCCCCGCTGAGGAGCTCAGGCACTAGACGTGAATGAATGACAGCAACAGTCGCAGCAGCCAGCACACACTGCTCACATGCGCCAAGCCCTGTCCTGAGCTCTATCTATCTGTTACTATGTAATATAAATAACATATTCATTCAATTAACCCTTACAGATATATTTTTTAAGATTTTTAATTGATTTTTAGAGAGGAAGGGAGAGAGAAACGTCATCCATCGGCTGCCTCCTGCACACCCCCTATGGGGGATGGACCCCACAACCCAGGCATGAGCCCTCCCAGGAACTGAACTGCAGGACGATGCCCAACCAACTGAGCCACACCGGCCAGGGCAGCCCTTACAACTCTTGAAATTATCCTCCAGTTGACAGATAAGGAAATTGAGACGCAGAATAGATAACTTGCTCAGCGAGTAACTTGTGCAGGTAAAAGTGTCCCCGAACCCACACTCTGCACATGACACAATATCACCACCCACCAACCCACACACAGCCAGGTGCCCAGGTGCCACCCACTTACCTTATCAGGACCTCCCCCGCCCGCTCCCCCCAAGCGGGTGCCACAGCTGGCCTCTGCTCACGGCAGCCCTGTGAGACGGGGAAGGTGGGTCACATGTGGACAGGGCCTTTTATAGCCCCAGCACCCCAACTGGCTCCGTCTTCTGCCACCTGACCTGCTGGCTGCTCCCTACACCAGCTGTGCCCATTCACCATGGAGAAGATCCTTGTCCTTCTGCTTGTCACCCTGGCGGTGGTGGCCTACGCGGTCCCTGACCCCCGGGGAATCATTGTCAACCTGGTAAGGCTGGCTCTTGACCTCTGGGTCCCACCGGGGGCTGCCCAGAGCTGGAGGTGAGGCGCCTTCTTCCACTGCCTGTGCCCTGTCCTCGCCTCCTCCCCAGGGGCCCCAGAGAAGCTGACCAGCTGGGCACATGCTCAGAGCAGTGGTTCAGCCTGGCTAAGGGAGTTTGCAAACTAGAGCCCTCGGCACCGTCCTGAAAGCCTGGCTCAGAGCCCAGGGGTTTAAGCTCCCAGTTCTCAGAGCCTCACGGACATCCAGTCATCACACGAGCGACCCAAGAGGGACCCTTCCTATCAACCTGGACAGCCACGCTCCCCCCCCCCCCCCACACACACACACACCACTCTCCCCGAGGGCACCCCCCCCCCCCATGCTGAGATCCCTAACGGGTGCCACGCTCGGGCTTGGGGGCAGGGTCCCACTGAGATTATGTGCAAAGGTCCTTCGGGGAGGGAGGAGTTTTCCAGGGAGAAGGTCCTTCATTTTCACAGGCTCCTTCCTCAAAGGCCTGTGGGACCCAGAGACTTGGAGACCGTTTGGGGGCCACACGGGCACCCTCCATGGGAGCGCTGAGGCAAGGGGCACGGCTCCAGGGGCACCCAGGGAGCTGGCGGTACAGCCCCGCCCAGGCAGCCTCACTGCACCCACCGCCCTTCCCCACGGGGCTGGGGGTGGCGGGGAGGCTCAGCCGGAGGTGGCGGGTGGAGCCGGCCCAGGGGAGGGTCCGCTGACGGCTCCCCTCCCTCCCCCCCACCCCCCACCCCCCACGCAGGAGGAGGGCGAGCTCTGCCTGAACAGCGCCCAGTGCAAGAGCAAGTGCTGCCACCGGACGAGCGGGCTGAGCCTGGCCCGCTGCGCGCCCAAGGCCAGCGAGAACAGCGAGTGCTCTGCCAAGGTGGGTCCGAGGACTGGGGGGCGGGGGGCACCCAGAGAGGCGGCCTCCAGGCTTGGGGATGGATGGGGAGGGAGTAGCCGGAACCTCCAATGTTGGGGAGACAGGAAGGTCAACGGGCCTCCAAGCCCTTTCCCAGCCCAGGGTCTCAGCTGACCAGGGGGTGCGCGGGGGCAGGGATCTGGTACCCATTTCGTGGATGGGTAGAGAGAGGCTCCCCAGGCAGACCTGGTTAGGAAGAGCGGAGGAGCCAGAGAGGGAGCCAGGGCGCCCGGGGGCAGTCAGGGGGCAGCACCGCGGGAAAGACGGGCTGCCCCCTGGTTCTGGCGTCAGATCCAAGGCAAGTGATGCCCGCGGAGCCCCCACAGCGTGTGACTCCCCTGGCGCCCTGTCTCCGCAGACGCTCTACGGGGTTTACTACAAGTGTCCCTGCGAGCGGGGCCTGACCTGCGAGGCGGACAAGTCCATCGTGGGCTCCATCACCAACACCAACTTTGGCACCTGCCGAGACAAAGGCCGCTCCCAGGAGTGAAGCCCCACGGGCCGTGCCCGTGGCCCAGCCGGAAGGGTGCCCCTCCTGTGCCCCTTCTCCCCGGCTGGCCGCCCGGGACCAGCACCTCCATGTCCTGATTGGGTTCTTGGCCATTAAAGCCCGTCCTGCAAACCTCCCCCGAGGCCTGGATGTCACTGCTGAGTTGGCGTCTTCCTTTCACAGAGCCTGTGCCCCTCGGAGCCCGCAGCAAACAGGCCGGAGGAAGGAGGGAGGAGGCTGCACAGGCAGAGGAGGCAGAGGATCTCCCCACTTCTGGGGAGCAATCCCTCCTCCCTGGGAGCCCTCCTTGCCCCTCAAGTTCTCAGACAGAAAGACAGGCAAGCATGTGTGCGCTTGCACACACACACACACACACACACACACGCACACACACCCCTCTGGTGGGGCGCTATAATGACCCTATTCTTTGCCCTGCATCAAAGCTTACCTGTCCCCTGTGCTGGGCTCACACCTCTGTTCTGGGCCCCAACTTTCAGATGTGACAACCAGAGGACACACGCGTGTGTGAAGGGTCAGACTGTTAGGGTCACCGAAGGAGGAACGCATGAGGATAAAAGGGGTAAAGAATTATGAATTTATTAGGTCATCTGGGTACCAGATGGGCTGAGCCCCAAAATGGGGCCAGCTGCCGCGAAGACTGGGAGTCAGAGGTTTTTAAAGGACCCTGGGCGGAGGATTCTCTGTGCAGGTCCGGATCCTGGGAAACTCCGGAGGGGAGAGATAAGGGTCTTGGCAAGTGGAATGTCCATTGTGAAGGGGCCTAAAGGTCAGTTCCCAGGGGCGGGGGTACGGATCAATTATTTGATCAGACCTAACACAGACCACCAACTTCGCTGTGGGCTCCCTGTGCTCACAAATCAAACCCTCACAGTGATGCTGGGAGAAGGGTTGTCTCCACTTTAGAGATAAAAGACTGAGGTTTAGAAGGTTCGGTGCCTTGCTCGATGTCACAGAACTAGGAAAAGTTGGCACTAAACCCATCTCACTCCACCCCCACCCCCTTTTCTACAATTCCCTGTTCTTTCCCAATTATTCATATCAGGACAAGTGGGTGGAGTTGCAGGGAATTTAGTTTTGGCTTAATATAAAAATTTCCTACTCCAACCTGAGGTCCCCGTCTGAGATGTGCAAGTGGAGGGTCCCTGAGTGGGCTGCTGGAGAGGAAATTCGCACAGAGACTGTGGGAGAGGCAACTCAGTGAGCTGCCTGCCAGCCCCAGGATTCTGTAGTTCCGGGATCAATGAATTCTTCGAGTAACCATTAGGTTTATGAGTTAGGGACTCGATTCAGCTGTAACAACAACGACCAAAAAACAAGCAAATAAACAAATAAAAAGAAAACAAAGTGATACGGCTTTACACATGGGGCATATATTTCTCATGAGTCAAGAAGTCTAGAGATAGGAGGTGCTGGCATTTGTTTGGGGGCTGGCAGATCTGCCATTCTCTTGACCTTCTCACAAGGCACACGCCTGCATAGCAGCTCCTAACGTCATATCCTCGCACCAGATGCTCAGTGAGAACGTGCAGAGCAGAGGATGGGTGGGATAGGGAGTGAGGGCAGGTAGGTCTCCTACGATACTTTCTTGTCTTGTGCTAAAGCCTCCAGGCAGACTTCTCCATATCTCCATGTCTATAATAGGTCACCTGACCACCTCTAGCTGCAAGGGAGGCTGGGAAAGCAAGTATCGGGCAATGGGGATGTGGGTGCCATCACTAGGTTAGATTAATCATTCTCCCTCTCCAGGGGTTGGACACATTATTACTCAAACAATATTGGGGTTCAGTGAGCAAGGAAGGGGGGCAATGGCTGGTTACAGTGTCTGCCACATCTGAGTTAGTGCTCAACCAGAGGTGCTTTCAACATCTTAACCCAGTAGGGGTCTCAGGCCCCGAGGCAAGGGCAGGGCCTACTTCTTGGTGTCCAGATTCAGCCCTGCGGGGTCTGCACTCATTCACTTCTTCACACAACTGCTGAGTGGCCACAGTGCTCAGCACTGTGCTACGGGCTGTGGGGACGCGAGGAAAACGTCCTTAGTTTCTGGGAGTGAATAGGGGCTGGGTTCTTAAGAAGTAAGTGGCCCAGACCCCTGTTTTTTATATTAAATATATTCCACCTGAAATGCCTGCGATGCTGAGCCTGGCTAATACCAGACTGCTGGAAAAGAGGAGCCTGGGGCTCTTGTTGTTCTTGTTCAAAAGGGCTTTTCTCTCTCTAAGCCGGAGCCCATAGCCCTCACCATTTCCTAATTCACATACAGATGTCCTAGAGCAGTGGTTCTCAACCTTCTGGCCCTTTAAATACAGTTCCTCATGTGGTGACCCAACCATAAAATTATTTTCGTTGCTACTTCATAACTGTAACGTTGCTACTGTTATGAATCGTAATGTAAATATCTGATATGCAGGATGGTCTTAGGCGACCCCTGTGAAAGGGTCGTTCGACCGCCAAAGGGGTTGTGACCCACAGGTTGAGAACCGCTGTCCTAGAGGCTGTAGCCTTGACATTGACACTTTCCATCTAGCAGCCTACTCCCAGGAACTCCCCATATGGCTGTAACGTTTTCTAGACCTGCTAGATATTCGGGTGCAGAAGCAGAGGTTTTGCAGCCTCGAGTCCATAAAAAATTCCTAATGCTGGACCCTGGTGACCTACGTTGTCTCATACGCTAGCTCTCAGCCAGCCACATGCTCAGCACTTGGCATGCGGCTCATCTGAACGGAGAGAAGGGCAAATTACACACTGGATTTTGGACCAAGTTCCAAAAATAAGCTAAAATATCTCAAATAATTTTTACATGTTGAAATGAAAAAAAGCTTTGGTTCAAAATTGATTCCACCTGTTTCTTTTTACCTTTCAGTATGGCTATTCGAAAATTTGAAATTACATGTATAGCTCCATTTTCTTTCCACTGGACAGTGCTGCCCTAGAGAGCTGACTCTTCACAGAAGAAGCACCGTCTTACACCTCGAAGCACAGGTCTCTAGGTTCTGGCAGCAGTGTCCTCACAATGACCCCTTTTTCCTCAGGGGCAGCTGAAGATCCATGGCTTGTGAAGGGATCCAGAATATGCCACTGTAGCATTACAATTATTTTGAACAGAAGGCATTTGAGTGTAGGCATTTTTTCTGAACCCCCTTATCTACCTAAAAGCAGAGTCTCCCAAAAACTCAATTGTCATAAATCCCCTCCTGGGAGGTTTCTTATAACCAGCAAAGATGGACTGTTTTGCTGTATTGGCTTCATTGTCGGAGAGGAGATGTTCGCACCACACTAAGTAGACATTGTCACATCTCTCCCATTTACTCTCCTACGACCCCATTTATCTTTCCTAAAGCTCATTTGTCTTCCCATAAATGCCCTCCCCCATCCCTTCCCCTATTAAGAAGTCATTTTCCAAAGTGTCCTTCTCTGCCCTGGCTGGTTTGGCTCAGTGGTTAGAGTGCCAGCCTGTGGACTGAAGGGTTGCAGGTTTGATTCTGGTCAAGGGCACATGCCTGGGTTGTGGGCTCCATCGCCAGTATGCAGGAGGCAGCCAATCAATGATTCTCTCTCATCATTGATATTTCTATCTCTCTCTCCCTCTCCTTTTCTCTCTGAAATCAATAAAAATATTTTTTTTTTTAAAAAAAGTGTCCTTCTCCCCCTTCCGTCCCCAATTTGGATGGTATATAAGCCCCAAATTCTAACTGCCTCATTAAGTCACACTTTTCTGTGAACTCCCCCATCTATCTATACTAATAAAAGGGTAACATGCTAATTAGACCAGATTTCTTCCAGACGTCCTTCCGGATGTCCTTCCAGACAAAGCCATAGCAGATGCAAGGTCTGAGGGCCAGTAGCGAAGGGAGAGGCAGTGGTGCGGGAGGAGGAAGGCAGTCGTGGCAGGCTCAAGAGGAGAACGGCTCTCCTAGCAGCCGGGGGAGGAGAGACACACACCCCCAGTGCACGAATTTTAGTGCACCAAGCCTCTAATATATATATATATGCCTAAGCGACGGGAAGACTGGATGACCGGATGATTGGCAAGTAGCTGTGACACACACTGACCACCAGGGTGCAGACGCTCAACTCAGGAGCTGCCCTCTGGTGGTCGGTGCGCTCCCACAACCAGAGCACCACTCAGCTGACAGATAGGCGCCAGACACCAGGCTCACAAGCCTCTCCTGCAGACACTTCCCCTGTGTGTCTGAGCAGCGGTGGCAGCAGGGCCGGGATGAGTGGGAGAAGTGCTCCTTCCCAGCCACCTACTGCTTCCTGCACTACTTCGTGCTGTGCGGGATCGACATGGACAGGGGGCTGGAGCCCAATGAGCTGGTGGGTGAGGCTGAGCTGCGGTGACACAGAGGTCCCCCCACAGACCATGCTGAGGGACCCAACTGGTGCACGAATCCATGCACTGGGCCTCTAGTCCATATATATATATATATGCCTAATAAGCAAATTGTCCCCTCAGGAGTTCAACCAGGAGACAGGGAGTTCGATCGCTCACTATGACGTGTGCTGATTACCGGGGGATGGCACAGAATGAAGGAAGGTCCCGGCCAGCAGCTGGAAGGCCCTGATTGGCCCTGATCGCTGGCCAGGCCTAGGGACCCTACCTGTGCACAGATTTCATGCACCGGGCCTCCAGTGTATAAATAAAGAAAAATCTGTCTTTTCCCTTGCTAATCTCTCCTGTCACTTTATTTTTATTTTATTTTATATTTTATTGATTTTTTACAGAGAGGAAGGGAGAGAGATAGAGAGTCAGAAACATCGATGAGAGAGAAACATCGATCAGCTGCCTCCTGCACACCTCCCACTAGGGATGTGCCCGCAACCAAGGCACACGCCCCTGACCGGAATCGAACCTGGGACCCTTCAGTCCGCAGGCCGACGCTCTATCCACTGAGCCAAACCGGTTTCGGCTCTCCTGTCACTTTAATTCACAGACCTCCAAACACTGAACCTAAGAGGGTAGAAGAAAATTTTTTTCTCCACAACACTTAGGACCAGCTTAATCATATCAGCAGCATTTCTTTTTTCCCCTCCCTTCAACTTCTAAGACGTTGATTATCCCTGGAGGCTGGGCTTCCAGCTTGCAAGCTCTTCTTCCACTGCTGTTTCATTGACGTTCTCCAAATGGGGGAGCTCATGTAACACTATGAACTCTAACAATGTGTATCTGTCTGATGTATGTGTAAGCCTGATATGTTTAGTACATATTCTACCAAGTTATGATTTACACTCTTCCTGATTTATAGGGGCGTGCTCTTGCACCATAAGCCTGGCATCCTGGCCAGCACTCTTGCTCAGGTCTGGAGGCTTAACTTCAATCCGAGGCGTGCCTGAGCATGGAACCTGAGGTACGAAGTGTAACCTGAATATAGCGGCCACCGTGAGCCAGCCTCTGCGGAGAACGCACTGCACTGTACACAGGCCAGCGAGCTAGCCTCTGGCTCTGACAGCCTCTCAACATGCAGTGCAACTTCCTAAAGCTCCTCTTGACTCCTGCTCTTCCCATCGGCACGGTAGGTGCTCCAGTCTTTCTCCCACTCTCTTCCTTTCTCATCCCCTTCTTCTAACCCGATGTCCTGAAGAGTCATATTCATCGCTTCCAAGCTGTGTGACCTGGAGAAAGTTGCTGTGGACAAAGAAAGAGGTTCTATGGAGGGTAACCTCACAGGATGATCTGATCACAAATTGCTAACTGGGCAGGTCATGGTGGGTGGTCATGTCCCAGGCCTATAAAAGGTTGGTTTTTGCCTTAAGCATTGTTCTTGTGCATCTACGTTAGCAAACCTTTGAAACACCAGAAGCAATCCTCTTTCCCAGGCCCTTAGGGAGGCATAACCACCCTCAAAAGAACACAAACTCTTGTTAACTATCCTGTAATCCAGCCATTTTCAACTCTCACGTCTCATGGCACACATAAACTAATTACTAAGATTCTGTGGAACTCCAAAAAAGACACTGTATTTTTGGCCGATCTGATGAAAAAATAAGCATTATTTTTATTGACTTGCAAAAGAATGATAATAATAGTAATTTAATTACCTACCCTTTTTGCTCCAAAGTGACTTTTTTTAAAAAAAATCGGATGCCTATACTTGTATATAAGGATGTCTGGTACCAAGAGTTAACCAATCAGATGCAACCTTATTATGCCACAGAACAATAAGATGCAACTCTATTATGTAACCTATATATTTATGGTTAAAGACAAGGAATTCACACCAGACAGCGATTGCTGTGTTGGCTGTTGTCATTTTTTTGATTTGAGAATCTGAGGGAAGAGGTCAATGCCCTGGCTAGGGTATCGCATGTTTTAAAAATTCTTGCCCAGCCGGTGGCTCAGTTAGTTGGAACCTTGTTCCTTCCAAGTTCGATTCCTGGTCAGAGCACATACCTAGGTTGCGGGTTCAATCCCCCGTTGGGGCATACGGGAGGCAACTGATTGATGTTTCTCGCGTTGGTGTTTCTCTCTCTCTCTCTCCCTCTCTCTCTCTCTCTCTCTCTCTCTCTCTCTCTCTCTCTCTCTCTCTTTCTCTCCCTTCCTCTCTCTCTAAAAATAATTAACATACCCACAGGTGAGTATTATAAAAAAAATATTCTTGCAACACATCAGTTGAAAATTGCTGCTATAATCTGATCCCCACCTTGCTTTCTCCCAACTTCATTTACTCTTTCTTAGTTTCCTCAGTTCTGTAAACTATCATTTTAGGGCTCATTTAAGATCTTATCCTCAGTTTGACTCAAATAAATTATTTTAAAAATTCTCTGCAGGTTTGGATGTTTCTTATGCTGACATCGCCCAATCCCTCTGTCTCCTCGCCTATAGCACAGGGCGATAACAGTGCCTACTCCTCATGGGTGTTTGTAGGGTTAAGTGAGATCATGTGTGTGAGACCCCTGGCATCTAGTGTGTACTCAATAAACATTCCATTCTTTTTTTTTTAAATATATTTTTATTGACTTCATAGAGGAAGGGAAAAGGGCAGAGAGCAGAAACATCGATGAGAGAGAACCATCGATCCGCCTCCTGCATGCCCCACACTGGGGATCAAGTCCGCAACCCAGGCACGTGCCCCGACCGGGAATTGAACCTGGTTCACAGATTGATGCTTAACCACTGAGCCACCACAGCCGGGCAACATTCAATTCTTTATACACATGTTTGTTCTGTACACTTTCTTTCACATTTCTGAAATTTAAGGCCAGGGAACCAAGAACTCAGGTGTAAACTGAGCTTATGATGGCGTGGGCTATAGGCAAAAAGGGAGTGGGGCTGGGAAGGGGAACTCATGCCCCCTCTGAAGGACTTTTATTCAACAGGAGAAAGACTCTATTGACCCCAAGAAGGAAAATACCTATGAAGAAGGACTCCCTGTAGTTAATTAGGCACAAATTCATAATCAGAGTCTAGCAGCCATTGCTGACAGGGGCTTCTCCCCACTCTGCACCTCAGGAGAAGCCACAGACTGAACTGCCAGCTTTCTGCACTGTGTTCCTGCCGGCTGAGCCAACCCTTAGAAAGGAGTTCCTGGAATTGCCTTTCAACCAATGGGTGAGACCTGTCACATCCAACATCCTCATTTGCATTTTTACTGACCAATCAGAGCATCTCCATAATGACCAATCAGAATGCATGAGTCTGACCAATGAAGACAGTGCTATTAATGTACAGGGACTGGGGTGGGAGCTTTATAAAAGCAGGCCTCCCCTTTGTTTCAGTAAAGGGCACTTTGGGTTTCCTCTGAAGGTTGCCTCTCCTGGTTTTGCAAACTACTAGCGTATCTGACTGAAGTTTCTCCTTTTCCCACAGCCCAGATGTTGGCACTGGCTTGGTCGCTGCAAACTTTTGTCAACAACCCCAAGCCCAAGAGAACCCCTTGCTGTATCCTCCCCCATTTCCTCCCACCTCCCCACTGCCCCAGGAACTTGTTCCCTCGCCCCCACCCCCAAGGAAACAAATTTTTTAAAAATATTTTTTAATTGATTTCAGAGAGAAAGGGAGAGAGAGATAGAAACATCAATGATGAGAGAAAATGATGAGAGAAAGGGAGAGAGAGATAGAAACATCATTGATTGCCTCCTGCACGCCCCCTACTGGGGATGGAGCCCACAACCCAGGCATGTGCCCTTGACTGGAATAGAACCTGGAACCCTTTAGTCCACAGGCCGGCGCTCTATCTACTGAGCCAAACTGGCTAGGGTCAAGGCAACACATATTGAAAATTCTTTATTTCAACGATGGTGCATTATCCCCCTCCCTCCCTGTCCCTCCCTGTTGGTGGAGGCTGTGGGGGCAGGGGCAGGTACACACAGTTCTGGGTGGACCTGGAGTGGGTGGAGGAGGAGGGGCAGGAGACACGGAAGAGGGCACATTAGAAAAAACCTCTCTTAGTTAACTTCTTTTTTACAACAATTTTCTTACAATGGCCGTAGGTAATTTTAAAGATTTTCACATTCTTCGGAAATATACAAGTCAGGTCCGGCAGGCAGGGACACTCGTTATACAGGCCGAGGAACGTCTGGGAAAGGCAAGATTTGACCTTGACCCTGGCTGCTGCTCTGCCCTCAGGTCTGAGCGGCAGCCCCCATTTCCACCCCAGCCCAGCTCATTTGTTTGCACACAGCAGAGGGGCCTCGGCATAAAGTATCCTCTCACCCAGCTGCCTGGGTCTGTGCCTCCGGTTGCCTCCTCCATGCTGACCCCTAGGATTGCTCAGTGCCCTCCTATTCTTGGGCAAAATCCAGCCAAGAATACCTGAGGCTACAGCATAACTCCTGGGGCTGTGTGTGTGGTTTGGGGGGCGGTGGGAACGGGGGAGAGCAGAGTCAGGCATAGTAGGACCGTGGTTAGGGTTAGACCTTCTAGCTGTGCCCAATCACAGTGCTACTTTCAGGGTTTGCTGAGATGAGCCTCGGAGAACAGGAACCCATGTTAGAGGGAAGCACTGCCACGCCTCTGGGGTAGGGACCCACCTTGGGTCTGTCCTCGGCTCCCCCAGGCCACAGGCGGCTTGGAGACGCAGGCACAGCAGAGAATTCCCAGCTCGGGTCTTTGCCGCCCACCTTCCCCTCCCCCCCTCCCCTGGGCTCTGGGTCCGCCAGGCTCTCTGTTTCCGTGCACCCCCCACCCCGAAGCCCTCCCCAACGCCGTGCCTCACCCACCTGCGTGTGGCACCAGTCGTCCTCAGACCCCTTCTGGGTGCAGTGCGACTCGCAGTTGTAGGGGTCCCGCCGGCAGCACCTGCTCTTGCACTTGATGCTCTGGATGCAAGCCTCCCCGTTGTTCTGTTGGAAGAGCACCCCTCTGGCTCTTCTGCAGCCCCTGCCCGCCCGCTGGGGGGCTTTCTCCCAGCTGCCCCCCCACACACACACGTTATGCCCTAAGCACCACCCCACTGCGCCCAGCCTGGGACGGGCAGAGGGTTAGGAGGGGAAGGAGCCGCTGGCAGGACCTGGCTGGTGCCTAGAGGAGCTACAAGAGCGCTTAAAGGTTCGTTCCAGGGCCCCCAAAGTAGGTTCTCCTCCTCCCGCACTTCAGGGGCGTCCAGACCTTCTGTCTTTGCTCCTGCAGTTCCTTCTGCAAACTCTTACCTACCTTCTCACCTGAGCTGGGATGCCACCTACCTCTCCCCCACACACACAGACACACAGGTCAATGGCCCCCAGTGCTGGGGCTTACAGCATTGCATTATTTATCGCCATCACCCATCGCCTCTCTGTCACCCATCGCCTCTCTGTCCCACGATTTCAATAGTCATTCAACCAGCAAATGCTGAGCACCTACTGTGTGCAGGCCCTGCTCCCAGCACTGGGGATGCCGCTGGGAACAAATGCCCGCCTCCTGGGGCTCACGCCGCAGCGAGCCGCCTGACAGAGCTTTCCATGGTGAGGGAACGCGCTTTCCGCCCTGTTCACTGGGCAGTCACAGCCGCATGTGGCTATCGACACGTGAGAGGCGGCTGGTGTGACTGAGAAACTGAATTTTGTTTGATTAAATATATACATATTTTTTTTATTGATTTCAAAGGGAAGGGAGAGAGAGAGATAGAAACATCAATGATGAGAGAGAATCATTAATCGGCTGCCTCCTGCACGCCCCCTACTGGGGATCGAGCCCACAACCCAGGCATGTGCCCCTGACTGGAATCAAACCCGGGACCCTTCAGTCCACAGGCCGATGCTCTATCCACTAAGCCAAACCAGCTAGGGCAGAAACTGAATTTTAAATATTATTTACTTTTCATTTAAGAAATTGCAAGTGACTAGTTACACTATTGGACGAACCCAGCTCTAGACAAGAAATATCACAACTACATACGTGAAATAGGTGAGGAGGCACAGATGTTCAGCAAAAATAGCTAGATTTAAACAAACCAACAGCAAAAAACCATACTGTGTGATTCCATCATATGAAGCTTGAAAGCAGGCAGCACTAACCCACAGCGAAGGAGGTCGGAGGGTGTGCCCTTTGGGACTGCTGGCCCCAAGCCCCAGGGAGCCCGCTGGGGGCTGAAACGCCCTGCAAACTGACCCGGTGGTGGTCATGCGGGTGTTTACACGAGTTTACAATTCATTGATTTTCATGTAAATCAAGATTTGGGCAGTCCGCTGCATGTAATTTTTACCTAAGGTGGTATAATTAACAATTATGACGTATTACATACGTATAATCATATCTATTGTGTATGACTAAGTGCTGTAACGAAAAGAAGCCAGAGCCCTGGCCAGTGTGGCTCAGCTGGTTGGGTGTCGTCCGGTGCTCTGAGGGGCTGCGCTTTGATTCCCAGCCAGGGCACATGCCCGGGTTTGGGGCTCGGTCCCCGTGAAGGGCATGCAAGAGGCAGCCGATCTTCACAGAGATGTTCTGTCTCTCCCTCTCCCTTCTTCTCTCTCTAAAAATCAATGAAAGATCGAGAGAGAGAGAGAGAGAGAGATAGAGAGAGAGAGAGAGAGAGAGAGGATAAAGCTGGAAAGAAGGACTGGTCTTCCTGATTCCGCTCCACTCTCATCTCCCCCTTCCCCTCCCCCCCACCCTCTCTGGCCATCAGTCCTTCCCAGAACAGCTAGCGGAATCTTTTTCCAAAAGATAATCCCATCACACCATTTCCTTACTTCAAAACCTCCCAGGACTTCCCAGAGCATTTACACATGGCAACTCCATGGGACCTGTGGGCCTACTCATTCCCGGCTGGCTGCCAGCACTGGATCGCCTCCTGCCCCCCTCTACACTCGCCCTGTAGCCACCACTGGGCCTCCGAATGCACCCACCCCGCCTGGCCCCAGGCCATTTGCACTGCTGGTTCCTCTGCCCAGAACACCCTGCCCTGTGAGCTCTGCCTGGCTGCCTCCCTCTCCTGCCTGGGGCTGACAGGCCTTCCTGCACACCCAGCTAGAGCAGTTCCCATCACCTGGTTCACATTTGTGTGTCTGAAATTACCTCCTTTATTTCTTTTTGTTTTTAAAATGTTGTCTCCCCTGCTAGAACCTCCGGGATCTTTGGCTGCCTTGTTCAGGGTGGTATTTCTTAGCCTCTTGTAGATACAGATTGCAAAACAGCTGAATAAATGCGGGTACTGTACTTCTCGGTGCGTTTATCTGACCTCATCTATTATTTCCAGGCTCTCACTCCTCTCTGAATCTGCGGCCGAGGTCCCGTCTCCAGGCCTTCGTCCTCGCTCTTCCTCCACCTGCGAGGCTCCCTTTGGGAAAGGCCTCACTTCCTTTGGGCCTTTGTTTAAATTTCACTTTGCTGGGAAGGTCTCCCCTGAGCACCCGTTTAGAGCTGCAGGCCCTCTTCACGCCGCCGCTCCTGAAGGCCCTTCCTCATTCTCTCTGTCCGCGGGCGTTTGTCACCTGCGATGTTTCAATTTTACTCATTTGCCTCCCGCAGAAGAACGTTAGCTCCACAAGGGCAATGATTTTTGCTTCTTGCTCACAGCCCTAACCCAGCACCTAGAAAAATAATGGGCCTATCACAGGTGCTCGATAATGAATGAATGGCTGGATGGGTGGACGTCTTACCAGATGTGAGCCTGAGGGTGGGGTGCTCTGGTGGCAGCACCTGGGTCTGCCTTTCCTTCCCAGGCATCCTCCACCCAACACCCGCTACTGCCCCTCACTTCTGGCTTTCACTCTCACCGCCTCCGTGCCCACCCACCCTCCCCAAATAGTATAGATCTTAGGATGGTGCAGAGGAGGTGACTGTATCCTCTGGGTTTCTTACCAACTGTCTAGTGTCCAGTGTCTTTATAATTGAGCTGCTGGTGAGGAGGAAGAAATCAGAGAGGAGGAGGAGGAGGACCGGGAGCAGCAGCGTCCGAATCATGGCCCAGAGGTGTTGGTGGCATCTCCAAGGTCCAGCTAAATACCCTGCATCTGCCATCTGACTGCCATGTGACTCAGGCCTGGAGGGTAGGTAGCAGGTGTGACTGCCCAGGCCTAGCCTTGACAGGAGAGGCTGTGTGGGCTGCAGATGGCAGAGACGGAGGAACAAGCCAGGGGCTGGGGGTGGAAGTTTTTTGACCACAGAGGCATCCCGAGCCACTGCTGTGCTCCTCTTGCTACCCTCAGAATAGTCTAGTCCAGGGGTGGGCAACCTTTTTGTGAGTGCGTGCCCAAACCAGCAAGATCTCTGACTCAAAATTCTTCTGCGTGCCAACCCTAATTTTTTGAGAACATGTTACGCCTACTTGATATCTCTTAAGGTGTACGTATGTGAAGGACCTTGAAGAAATAATAAAATTCATTTGAGCGACAAAAACACTATATATGATGATGAAAAATACATTTATTTTTTAATGTATACATGTGCACTGATAGTCCGACAGAAAACTGTATGACTCCGTTTGATATTATCAGTGGGGCTTTTGCTGCTGCATCACTGATGACAGAGATTTTACATCGGGTTTATATTCCGTGACCTTCAGAGATATGCATGAGCTACTACTTTCATCACGCGTGCCAGGGGTTGCCCACCCCTGGTCTAGTCTCTGTGCTTGGAATCTGGCAAGATCTGGGTTCAAGCCCAGACCTAGTGCTTAACGGCTGTCTAATCTTGTGCAGACTTCATAACCTCTTTGAGCCTCAGTTTCCCCATCTGCAAAATGTGAAATAATAGCAGTACATCACAGGGATGATGCCAGGCTTAAATAGCAGGTGTTGCACTTCATGTAGAACAGGCACCCAATAGACAGGAGCTGTTCTTGTCTTTAGAATCAGAAGATCTTGGCGCTAGAGGGGTTTCAAAAGATGCTCCCACCCAGTCCAATTGTATATTGTTACTAATAAGCAGCATTCTTGTTACTGGAGAGCTGCCCATGTCGGGTGTGGCTCTCCCCTCCTCAGCTCTTGCCAGCTCCTGAGACAGAATTCAGATGAGTGACGGACAGCAGTGTTGAAGCAAAGCCAGTGAATTTGTGAAGGAGGCAAAGCAAGAGACGGAGGAGACATTAGGGAAGCCAGCAAGCAGGCTTATTACGAACGCACTTGGCATGAAGCACAGCGGGCCATTCAGCCAGGTAGCCTGTGGGGTCAAGGGTTTTATACCTTTTCCCCTTGTAGGTTTCAGGGTCCCCCTTTTACATTGTTGCAGCTTTTTCCAGAATTTACAAGAACATTTGGCGATTTTGTCTTGGCAAGTCCCAGGACTACTGACTCCTTTGATCAGTGGGTGAGGTAAACTCCCCTCTTCTTCTCCGCCCTCCCCTCCTCCCGCCCTGGCAGCTATCTCTCCTGCCTAACATCCCCCCTCAAGTGATACCATGTAAATGCTCTGGGGGGTTTGTTACGTGTCCCCAGACTTCGTCTGTCCTTGGGTTTAGCGCGCACAGGTAGCGTGAGGTGGGTCTTCGCTCCCTATTTTCCCAGGCGAGGGTGGCTTGAGCTATGTGTTCTCTGGTTAGGGAGGAGACTTGTAAACCATTTGCTCCCAAGTGTCCTTGGTTGGAGAAGACAAGGTCTTGCAATTCACAAGCTGGCTGCAAGCTGCCCAAACCGTTTGGTCTTGTTTAATTTTCTTGCCTCAGTTTCCCCATTCCACTCGCCCAGGAATTTTCCTAGCTTCTTGCTACCCTGCCACATTATGACATCTTGTCTCTCCGATGAAGTGACTAAGACCAGAGAGGTTGCTACACTTCCCCAAAGTCACAAAGCTGTCAGGTGGTGGAAGGTTAGACCCTGGTTTTCATCTTTTTTTTTTTTATTGATTTCAGAGAGGAAGGGAGAGGGAGAGAGAAATAGAAACATCAATGATGATGAGAATCATTGATTGGCTGCCTCCTGCAGGCCCCCTACTGGGGATCGAGCCCACAACCCAGGCATGTGCCCTGACCAGGAATTGAACCCTGACCTCCTGGTTCATAGGTCGATGCTCAACGGCAGAGCCACACCAGGTGGGCTGGTTTGCATCGTTGTACTCCCTCCTCCCAGAGGCCGTCATAGAATTTCAGCCACTCCGTTCCTGGGGAATCCAGCCTGCCTGGGTGCACTTCCGCACGCCTTCTGAACAGGACAGAGCCAGAAGGGCTTCCTTGATCACAAGCGACAGAAACCCAACCCAAAGTGGTTAAAGAAAAGGTGAATTTTCTGGGTTTTGAAACGTAAAAGTCCAGAGGTAGAGCTATCTGGTTAAGACACAGCTCGTTTCAGGGGCGGAATGAAGACACTAGTCTCCAGCCTCCTCTGAGCTGGCTTCATTCTGAGTCCACATAGTGAGGGATATGACGGCTGCCAACAGCCACAGACCTCCCTTCTCCCAAGCTCAAGTCCAGTGACAGAGAAGGGAAATTGTCCAGTGGAAGAGGAAGTATTACATTTTGGTGACTCGTGCAAATCCTAAGCTTCGCTCTGATTGGACAAACTAGATCATGTGCCCATCCCAAACCTGTCCCTGAAGCAGCAGGAACCTCATGGCCACCCGTGGAGCCAATCTCCGGTGGAGGATTCAGTGCTCTGATGTGCAGGCAGCCGCTCTCCACTTCAGGGGCTGGGGGAGGGGAGATAGTTTCCTGCGGGAAATTCAGGGTCACCAAGGGAAAGGGAGCAGGGGACCCTTGGCCGGCCAGATCAGTAGACGTTACTTAGATGTGGCAAATGGGAACTGACGGGGAGCCACCCATTGTGCCTAATTTAAACAATGCACAATGTCACCGGCACAACTTTTATGAAGTCTACTCAGTCTTTATTGGTTTTAAAGTGTTTCAAAGTAAAAGTATTTGTAAGACTTTTCATAAGTCACTATCATTCTCAGCTCTCTTTCCAGAGCGATTAATTGTGTTTGGAGTGAATTCTGCCCATTGAAGGAGGGGCTAGTGGTCCAGTATCGCTTTGCTGCCACTTGGAAGGTTTTTTTCTCTAGCAGTCAGAGCCGCCTGGAAGACAGAAACCACTCTAGGTGTTTGACATGAAGAGAATTTAATACACGGCCATGTTCACAGGCTGTCAGGCGCAGGGAGACGGCCAGCAGGTCAACACCAATGCCCCTGTGGCTGGAGGAACAACGTGCTGAGGCTGCGACCGGAGTCCCCGGGGACTGCTGGCATCGCCTGAAGCCGAAGGTGCCACCACTTGTCTCCTACCTCCAGCCAGTCCTAGGACCAGAAGACAAAGGAGACTGGGAAAGGTGTGCCCAGGGGCAACGAGCAGAGCAGGAGGTGAGCAAACAGGCAAACAGGTGATTTGCACACCTTCCTGCCAAACCCACCACCAGGCTGGGAGCATGCGTGTGCTTCTGCCATTCCCCCCTGCTCCTCCCCCACTCCCCAAGTCTGTCCCTAAGGCCGGGGTGCTTTACTTGTTGGGGACCTGGAGGGGAGGAGTCACACCTGCCCCAAAGCTCATCATTAACCCTAAGGGTGGCACGCTGTCAATGTTTGGGGTGGGGAGAAATAGCACTCCAGCCAGCTGGCTCAGGGGCCGGCATGGCTCAGGGGTTGAGCATCCACCCATGAACCAGGAGGTCACGGTTCGATTCCCAGTCAGGGCACGTGCCTGAGTTGCAGGCTCGATCCCTAGTGTGGGGTGGGCTGTGCAGGAGGCAGCCAATCAGTGATTCTCTCTCATCATTGATGTTTATCTCTCTCCCCCTCTCCGTTACTCTCTGAAATCAATAAAAATATATTTCTAAAAATTTTCACTCTGTGAAAGAAACCTCAAATTAAAAAATATAACCTTCATGAAAATCTTGCCATGTTCACCTCCTGCAGGAAAGAAAGCCATGGATCATGGATATAGACTTGGAGAGCTGCCCTCCTGAGTACTAGCTATTTTATTGATTTTTACAGAGAGGAGGGGAGAGGGACAGAGTTAGAAACATCGATCAGCCGCCTCCTGCACACCCCCCACTGGGGATGTGCCCGCAACCCAGGTACATGCCCTTCACCGGAATCAAACCTGGGACCCTTCAGTGTTATGCCCAGAATTCAAGATCCCCAAGAAACCATGCCAGGGAGTCAGTCCGATGCAAAAGCAGAAGGTCCTTTATTGAGTTAGCTAACCCGACCCGGGCCTCCAGTCGCCGCAGCGACCGGAAACCGAGTGCCCCCCGTGAGAATAGTGAGGGGAGGGGAGCCGGCTGTGGGCCCTGCCGATTGGCCAGGCGCAAGTCGGGTCTTGTTAAATCCTGGGCGTGGCCAGCAGGGGCCTGGGCTCGGGAAGAAGGCACTTTTCTGAGCGAATGGCCTCTGCCCCATCATTCAGTCCGCAGGCCGACGCTCTATCCACTGAGCCACACCGGTTAGGGATCTCCTGAGTACTACCGACACGTCTACCCTGTTTCCCACAGTGACCCACTCAGCTGCCTTTCCCACAAGGCTGGCTGGGAAGCCGGGGGTCATGTGCTCCCTCCCCCACCTCCTCCCGAGGGTACGGCTCCGCCAGAGTGCGCAGCCCGAGTGAGGGCTGCCTAGCAGTGCGCCGTCACCTCGAGGTCCTGGCGTCCCAGCTCCTCTCGCTCGTTAAAATAGAAGAGGATTTTGTGGAGGCAAGTTGCTCTTGCTGTAGATTCTCCCTTTGTCCTTTAATAACAGAACCCCAAGCTTTCACTGGACACACGGAAACTACATTTCCCAGTCTCCCTTGCAGCTAGCTAGCTACAGTCATATATTCAAGTTTTTCTCAAGTGAAAATAATTCATGCTGCCTATTGGTCATACCCTTCTAGGAAGCGTGAGCATTTGCTGTCTTACCCCCTTTGCAGATGAAGTCAATCCAATCAGAATCAATCCTAAGGTGTTTGCTAAGAATCCTGGGACAGAGACAGTCCCTCTCTCTGGAAGGCACAATATGCATGTGTGAGGTGGATTTGTGGGCAAGAGGCCTGGGTCCAAACCCCGGACCCACCCTTACTGTGAACCCTTGAGAAGGATTATTGAGCCTTAACTCCCTATTTGTAAAATAGGGATAATTATATATTACCTTGCTGTACCAGTGAGTTAATACAGATTAGAAGACACTTCGTATAAGGTCTGGGGCCTAAGTTGTCAGTAAATCCTGGCTGTTTTTGTTAGGTGACATCTAGAACTTATGTGGAGAGGAATCCAGCCTGAGGCCGTGAAGTGGCTGGATTCAGCCAGACCTGAGGCCTGCCCCGCCTTTAAATTCTACTTCTGACCACCAATGAGTTCCCTCGTCATTTGGGCCAATTTGTTTGTTATTTTTGAAAGTTTCTTCACAATCGTGCTATATTTTAATGTCAAGAGCTTTCGCTTGGCATCAGTTATGAGTTGGTTTTGAGACAATTCCTTCTTCCCCCCGCTGGGATGATTACTGACCTCTCCATTCCTTTGGGGTGATTCTGCCAACAGGGGACAGGTTCCACTCTATGCCCATGCGTGTTGCTGTACATGTCCACGTAGCAACACAGAAAGTGGCTCCGCTAGCTAATGCAGTGTGGCCATATTTGTCCTGAAAATCGGTGTCCATTTCTGGTGGACCTTTTCGCACTGAGAGACGACTTAGCAAGTTCTGGGTTAATGGAAACTTTGTGAAGCTGAAGACGGAACTGCAGCAACGGCAGCTGCTAGTTTGTTGGAACTTCGAGTCAAGCACCCTTCTTTTATTTATATAAGGCCCTGCACACGAAATTTGTGCACTGGGGGGGTGTCCCTCAGCCCAACCTGCACCCTCTCAGTCTGGGAGCCCTTGAGGGATGTCTGACTGACAGCTTAGGCCTGGTCAGTCGGACATCATTAGTGCTGCGGGGGCGGGAGAGGCTCCCACTACCACCACTGCGCTTACCAGCTGTGAGCCCAGCTTCTGGCTGAGTGGCGCTTCCCCTGTGGGAGCACACTGACCATCAGGGGGCAGCTCCTGCATTGAGCAT